CTGGGTGTTCAAATTTATCAGTAGCAAAGTCCAAATTCGACAATTGGAGTAAGATGGTTCGTCGTGAATCCAATCGTCAGCCCATGGCGAAGTCCATTGCTAGCCTCATGTCGGCGAGGTGTGGGGAGGTTGAGGCTTCGGCGATCCAAGCTTCATATGAGTGGCTGTGTGGGGCTGCTCTATAGCGGCGAGAAGGGAAGCGCTTGAGATTTTGCCGGACTGCTAGGCCGTGGAGGAAGGAGGCTTGACGGCAAGGGGAGAAGGCGGCTTTCGAAAATTTTACATACGATTTATCATTGTTTTGGCATTTAGGAAATGGATAGGCTTAATCGAAGCTGAAGAAAAACATGGGTTGTGTGATTAGATTCTTCATGAAAATGGAACATAGAAATTTAAGAGCAGTGCTTGGTTCGGTGATGAGAATAGCTAAAGTATTTGCTTTTCTTTCTGTTTTTGGAAAATGTTAGGGTTTTTTTATTGAATTATTCTCGTGCCCCTTAAACTTTGTAATCGTTTTTAATTTGTCATTGAATTTTAATAACTCTCATTCTATTTTTTAAATTTTTTCTCACTTAACTAATTTTATTATAATTTATGTTAAAATCAAATAGAAAAAGAGAAAAATAAGTGTGATCATGTAATTTTTATCTGTTTCTTTTTAATAAGAATCCAAACAAAAAGATCACGTGATTGTGTTATTATCTTTTTTCTATATATTTTTAATAAAAATTGCTATAAAAGGGATTAACCAGAAGCAATTCAAAATTAAAGGGCAAAATGAGAATTTTTAAAATTTAGTGAATAAACAAAAAATGATACTAAATTTTAAAGACATCAATGATAATAATATCTTTTATTACTTTTTAATTATTTTTTAATATTTTTTAAAATTAGGTTTTAATATTTTAATATTATGTCACATCAACAATTCTGTAAATTTATAGACGGAAGAAGTTCATGGACAGAATTAGACAAAAGAGGCCTTTTGAACTATTTCTTATATATTAAGGAGTGTTTTGAGTTGTTTTAAAAAATCAAGAACATTTTAAAACAATCTACATACTTTAAGGGCATTTATAAAATTAATCATTTCTATTTTTATAATTTGTCTTTGATAATTTGTCGGATTGTTTTGTTTTTTTTTTTTTTCAACAAAATCAAAACACATTATTATATATACTAAAGGACAGGCGGGATTCACTGTTTAGTGTACAGTAAATGAACAGTGAATTCCCTATTTTGTCCTTACTTTCTGATGCTTAATTTTTTAATGCCCATTGTGTCCTGTTATGTTATTTTACGTTTTTGCCCTTGATTTTTCCTCATTGTCTGGCTTAGTTCGAGGGGCATTTTTGCCATTGAAGTTTTAATGTTGATTTTTCTGCCTTCTCTCTCCCTTGGTCTTTGTGTCTTCTGGAGCCTTCTATCGTTTCCTCATCTTTGTGTCTTCTTCATTTTTTTTTCTACCCCAATTGCTTCTCTCTTGATTTGGTGATTGTGGCTAGTTCTTTGATTCCATTTGGCCACAAGTGAACATCCATGGTTTATGTGATATTTGTTGTGGGTCCTTTGATTTTTTTCTTGTGGGATTTTGGCTTTATTTTTGGATGCTTTTTTTGCTTCGTTTTGCTGTTTTCGCCTGATTTTTGGATGCTTTTTTACTTCGTTTTGCTGCAGGTTTTTTTGAAAATTTTTCTTGCATGTTTCTTTCTTGGTCTGATTTGCTCATTTAGTCCCCTTTATTTTTTTGTCGATTTTCCCCTTTATTTTTTTGTCGAGTCCATGTTCTGCTCATTTCTGCCTATTTCTCTTTTTTTTTTTTTTTTTTTCCTTTTTTTGGTTGGGTTTGTCTTTGTTGGTTTGATTTGCTCATTTAATTTACTTTTCCCTCTATTTTTGGTCGACTCAATGTTATGTTTTTTTCTTTTCGTTTTTTTTTTTCTTTTTTTGGTTTTTGTTTCAATGGCTGGTTTCTTTTGTCATTGCCATGCTTCAAGAGATAATTTGTTTTTGTTTTTTTTTTTGCTTTTATTTTGGTGGTTTTTCCTTTCTTTTTGTTTGCTATTCACTTTTGTCATTGATCTATTTCAGGAGATAAATTTGTGCAGAAAGAAGGTTCTATGAGCGTCTTTTGATATTCTTTGTTGCTGACTTCACCTGATATACAGGTAAGTATCGATTTCTTTGTTTTGGATTGATTAATTTCTTGATCTGTGATATTTAGACTGCTGATTTGGCTACCTAGGCTGATGATTTGTACCCAAATTGTTGCAGACGCATTTACTTAGGTTGATGATCTGTACCTAAAACATAAATTCTTTTGCTCTGGATTCATTAATTTATTGATCTGTGATATGTAGACTGCTGATTTGGCTGCCTAAATTGATTATCTGTACCCATATTATTGCAGAGGCATTAAATGAACTGTTTCTTTTTTTTTTTTTATCGTTAGTTAATTCCTGAAATTTGTGAAAAATCTGAAAAAAAAAATTGAAAGCTTTTCCTTTTTGTTTTTTTTTTTTCCTTTTTTTCTGTTTCCTGAACTCATTATTATTTATCTATTATTTGGTTTTTGCTTAGTATACCCGTACGTTGCTTATGCCGCCTGATTAAGCAATCTTACTTCCTTAATTCTTACAGACCGACTTTGTTTTGCTACGTGCCCTCTTATAAATCATGTACTGTTGAAATTTTTTCCCTCATTTACTCTTTATAAATGCTACTGCTATATCAACATTTTGTTATCTATCTGTCCCTTGCTCTCCCACTGACTTTGCTTTCTCTCCTTCATATTTCTATTTACTACTCTGCTACATTCTCAATCATTGATTTCTCTTTCTATTCCTGTTCTTCTCCCTTGCGCTTGACTTTTAATCCTTTGCATTTCATCTTCGATCATTTATTACTCTGCTTTAATCCTACTCATTTACTACTCCAACTTCCTGCCTTTGTATTTACTCACTTTCTTTGCTGATTTTTGACTTGTTGCTATTTCATATTTAAGGCAGCGTTTATAGTGCTCCAGGTATTACTTATAACCTTTGCCTATAGCCATTCACTATTTGTTAATCTATGTCTACTTTTTTCTTTTATTATCTTTTCTTTATATCGTAATTATGATTGGGATGGATTTTGACATCTTGAACTTTATATAAATATTGCCTAAAATTGTGAATCTAGAATCTCGCAAGTGCACGAGTCAACAAGTAGTAAAATGATGAATAATCAATTATCGTCCCACAGGGATTGAGTGTTTTTGAAATCAAATTGCTAAGTTAATTCTATTCAAGTTTTAAGAAGAAAACTAAAGTTGATTTTAAGGTGTTGAAAACTAATTATAATCCGACTATAAGAAAATGAACAACAAAGATAAAACTAATTAATAACAAAATGTGCAAATAAATTGGCCAAAGCCACTGTGCGTGGCTCACAATTGCTAAACTGTCTCCTATCAATGCTGCGCGATTCTGCAGCAACGGACGGCAACGAAGATTTCTTGTTAACCAGATTTACTAAACTAGGGATTTTTCAATCCTCTGTCTACCGATCTTAAAGCTAAATCCCACAAATTCCTTTGCAAATCTAGACTCTAAAATCGGAGAATGAAGCTCTAAATCATATGGTTATGCAAGACACAATATATTCCTATATCATGTGAATCAAAAATCTAAAACAAGATCTAAGAACTTGCACTATTCAAGCTGTGTCTACTCAACTAAATCTTCCCAGATCTAATCAAAGCTATACTCCCCTCTTATGATTTTTCAATCACAGTTAAGGTACAAATTCAGCTCACTTGAATAAACAAAGAAATAATCATCAGATCTATTCAACATCAACTAACATTTAAATATTTAACAATTCAACAATCTCAGCCAACAAATAATAATCTCATAGAGATATATATATGGATTCGAGTTCAGATTTATAGAGGAACGTAAATATTCTTTAACAAAGTAAAACAGAGTAATGAGAGTAAGAAAAACTAAGGTGAAGAGAGGAGAATCAGAATCCCCCTTTTCAAAGGTTTCTTCTAAACGCTTCCTTCATCCACAATGGACCTTCCTTTACGTTCAACACCCTGTGATGTTTCCTTCTTCTTCTTTCCAGTACTGGAGCTGGTACTTTATCAGAGAAATGGAGGTGGTTTCCTTTTCTAAGTTCAATAGCCTCTACGTTACAAAATATGACCAAGGATACCTTCTTTTTTCTTAGCTGCAGGTACTTATTGTACCCTAATTCCACGTGGCAGCACACGAGAAAGCCTCCAATGAGTGGCTCAATTAGCACCCTTCACGGACAAAATCAGCCCATTAACCAGCTCAAGTCCAGCTGTCAGCAAAACACACGTCTGGCTCAGCTTGTCTTGCTGCAGCAATGCATAGCAATGCTGACTAGGATTCCTTCATACTCCAAAAATGAAAAGCTGCTCAAAGCTCCAAACGACCACGTTTTCTTAAAGCTGAGATTAACCACAAAGCGCACCTGAATTAGCTCTTTTTAAACGCTAATCACGAGAGAGAGAATTTATGAAACACAAATAACTAAAAACAATTAACAAGACAAAATATAGGAAAAAATTAATACTAATTACCCTCTAAGTAATAATTTAAGCCTGAAAAATGCTCAATTAACTCTATTTTCATAGAGTTATCAATTAACAATCCCAAAACAACTGTGATTGGGTTTATCTCACTTCCTCTTCCTATTCCCTCTAAAGTCGAGAATTGGAACCTGTCCAACTTAGAAAGAGAAAGGCATTCTTGGTTGTTTGTGTAAGTGAACGTTGCTCCATCTACAGGTCAATCCACCAACTGAATTTAGCTTCCAGGTTGATTTCAATACCACTTATTTCATCCTAATTTTTTGATGACTTTAACTTACTTTGGTGTATTGGTCTTTTTTTCCTATTGGTGTCAAGATTTTATCTTAGTTTTGATTCTTTATTGTTCTATTCTTATTATTTGAGATAGGAAACTGTCTTCATATCATCTTTCTTCTCCCTTTTTACTTGCTCTAACATTTTTTGCTTTTTGGCTTTTTCGTTTCATCTTGGCATATTTACTACTCATTCTTTTAAGCTGGCTCTACCTGATTTCTGTTTCATTGGCTCATACACACTATTTCAGGCAATATTCGTTACAGGTACTTTCACTAACTCTTGCCCATATTTTCTTCATTATCACATACGCATATATCTGTACACATTTTTGCTTAATATATTTAACCCTTACTTGATTTTGTATATGACAATGATACTTACAATTAAATTTGATCTCTTGACCTCTCTGTAGTCGGTCCAAAATTTGTTGACAAGAAATGCCCATTACTCATATTGAGTAAAATGATTTAAATGTTTTTCCTTTTTTTCTTTTTCTTCTTCTTCCTCTTGACCTAGAAAATGAAGATGCTACTTAGATAAAAATACTAAAAAAATATATAGTACATTATGAATCATATCCAATTGAAAAAATTTCATCATTAATCTATGATAACTTTAATGATATTGAATATTTGAAACAACGTGCAATAGTAACGCCCAAAAATAAAATAGCTGACGATATTAATAATCATATGCTATCCTTGGTACCAACTGAATTAAAAACTTACTACAGTTATGACACAATTATGTCATCATCAGAAAACATCGATGAACTTAATCTTTTATATCCTGAAGAATTTTTACACACCTTAAATTTCAACGATATACCACCACATGAATTAAATCTTAAAGTTGGAACACCAATCATGCTATTAAGAAATCTAAATCAATCCATTGGATTATGCAATGGAACAAGACTTATTATAACACAACTAACAAATAAAATTATAGAAGGACAAATAATAAACTCAAACAATATTAATGAAAAAGTTTATATTCCAAGAATATAAATGATTGTACATGAATCTAAATGGTCATTTACATTAAAAAGATGACAATTTTCCGTAAAAATTTGTTATGCAATGACAATAAACAAAAGCCAAGGACAATCGTTAAATAAAGTAGGATTATACTTGGAAAACGAAATTTTTACCCATGGCCAACTATACGTTGCTTTATCAAGAGCAACAACCCCAAAAGGATTACATATACTAATACATAATTCGATCAATAAATATCCAAATCACATTAAAAATGTAGTCTACAAAGAAATTGTACAAAACATTATACAAGAACATAGATCATAACATAGAAATATGTATAATACCAAATTCTTTACAATAGTAATACACCTCTTTCACTATAATTCACATACCGATACAATAAAGTAATTTATTCATATACTAAATATTTATTCATTACTTTTGACAATTAAGAAAAATGACTATACCTATTCGTGCATTAAGACTAAATAAAGTGTACATCACTATCATAGATTATGAACGAACAACAACCTTACTACAAGACGTTTAATAAATCATGATTGCATCTTAATTGACAAATAAGTAACAACTTTTATAAATATTAAATTACATACTATTTGATACAGTACTGAACATTGTAATATAACTAACTTTTTAATCTTTCCTATCTACAACATAAAGCAATACAAGCATCGATGTGGGCACGAGATTCAGATAGCATTTGTCAAAAATATAGAACAGGGCAGGATATATAATATTGGTAATTTCTTTGTTGCCTAAAATAAACCAACATATTAGTACATCAAAATTATTATTAATATATTAACATATTTATAATACTTTTTATTTACTGAATAACAGATGTTATTAAAGTCATCAAAAGTATCCAAGCAATTGAGAAGACAAACAGATGATAGAGCCATCTAGAAAACGACCAAAAATCAGGTAATATCACTATTTCTAAATTCTTTATTTTAATTATCCTAATTATTATGCTAATATTTTCAAAAATTCCTATTTTGCAGCTACAGTCCAAAGAACCATCAAAAAAAGAAAAGTAAAAAATTTAATGTAATGTACAAACCTTTTTACTAGACCGTTAAACAAATACATATATATATATGTATATGCATGTATATATAAATTAATACTGTGATGTAAAAACTCATGATTTTCTCTATAATATAACAATCTTTTCCGTAGCAACGCGTAGGCAAAAAAACTAGTAACAATTATTGAACAATCAACACAAAAAAATTAGTACAAAAACAACGTATCAAATCTCCAAAATAAATCTTAGATCTCAAAATCTTATATATATATATATATATATTGTTGAGATAAATTCATTCAAAACGCGAAAAGAGGGCCAAAGGCCAAGATCTTATATCTAACGTTTAAAATCCGATGCCGACGAGGAAACTCTTTGGAATTATAATCTACTAAATTATCAAATTATACCTGAATTTGAGGGGAAAAAAGGATTATCAAAACAACTCTTATGAAAATATGTAAATTTCCTATGGTAGGAAATGTAAAAAGGAGAACGTAAAGAAGAAAAAGGGAATTGAAGAAGAATTATGTATATTTCTGTATATTGGAAATGATGTACAATGAGTATTTTATACAAGCACGAGAGAATAATTCTATGCCTAAATAATAGTAACTTTCCTAACAATTACCCTGATTTAGAGAAATTGATCTAGACAATAAATTAAATAAATACAGGAAATCAAATACATAAAATCAAGAGGGAATCAAGGAATAATTAGTTAGGATCTTGATTCTTAACACTATCTCTCAAGTTGGAATAGATATTGATCATTCTTAACTTGTTGATGGGATTTGAAAACTGTGGCACACCCAAGGATTTAGTGAAGATATATGCGGGTTGTTTTGATGTCGAGATATGGTAAGTCTTGACTACCCCAGCTTGAACCTTTTCTCGAACAAGGTGACAATCAATCTCTATGTGTTTTGTCCGTTCATGAAAAACCGGATTGGAAGCAATGTGTAGAGCAGCTTGATTATCACAAAATAACTTTACTGGCTATAAATGCTTTATTCCAGGATTAAGTAAAATGTTTTGGAGCCAAGTGATCTCACAATAAGCAGCTGCCATGGAATGATATTCTGCCTCTGCACTTGAACGGGAGACAGTTGCTTGCTTCTTGGTTTTCCAAGAAATGAGAGAACGCCCAATAAAAACGTAATAGCTTGTGGTTGACTTTCGTGTGTCTCGACAACGAGCCCAATCAGCATCACAAAAAGCATTTAGTTGCAATGAACTTGTGGATGGGAAAAAGATACCTTGTCCAGGTGTATTCTTGATGTATTGTAGGACTCGTTCTGCCGCTTCTAGGTGTGTAACTTGAGGCTTATCCATAAATTGACTGAGAATATGTACGACATAAACCAAGTCTGGCCTTGTGATAGTCAAATAAAACAGTCGCCCAACAAGTCTTCAATAAGAAGAGGGATTTTCAATGCAATCGCCCTTTTCCTTACTAAGAGATAAATTCTGCTCCATTGGAGAATTGGCGGGCTTCACTCCTAAGTACCCCATGTCTTCTAACATTTCCAGTGCATATTTCCTTTGTGAAATAGCAATTCCTCTTTTGGATCGAGATATTTCAATGCCCAAAAAATATTTCATGTTGCCAAGATCCTTGAGCTTAAATTGCTGCATGAGATGAGCTTTAATTCCTTCAATTTCTTGGAGATTATTGCCCACTAGAATGATATCATCTACATAGACAAGGAGAGCAGTAAAGGAAGTACCATGGTGTCGGACGAATAAGGAGTGATCTGATTTGGATTGTATGAAGTGTACAAGAGTGAGGACTTTGGATAGCTTGATGAACCATTGACGGGAAGCTTGCTTGAGTCCATACAAAGATTTGTGAAGCTTGCATACACGTGTCTCCCCCTTTCGTCCGAAACCAGGAGGCAATGACATGTAGACGTCTTCCTCTAGATCGCCATGTAGGAAAGCATTGTTAACATCTAGTTGGCGAAGGTGCCAATTCATGGAAGATGCGATAGCAAGGAATAAGCGAACAGTAACAAGCTTGGCAACGGGGGCAAATGTCTCATGATAATCAAAACCTTCCATCTGATTGTAACCTTTTACAACTAAGCGTGCTTTGTATCGCTCGACAGTGCCATCAGGGTTGAATTAGATCTTGTATACCCATTTGCAACCTATGGGTTTCTTGTTTGAAGGCAAAGATTGGAGAGACCAAGTGCCATTATCTTGGAGAGCACGAAGTTCTTCGTCCATGGCAAGACACCATTTTGGATCTTTGATGGCCTGGGCAAAGGATGTAGGTTCTTTGACAGTGGAAATGGAAGTAGTGAAAGCACAATGGATAAGAGAAAGTCTGTCATAAGTAAGTACACGAGACAAGGGGTGAGAAATACCTTTCGAAGCACCAACACCGAGTGAGACGACGGTAAGGAGCGAGCAGGCAAAGAAGTTTCTACATGATACTGTTGAAGGTAGCTGGGTGTCCGTGTGGGTCGCCGGACTCGGGTGTAGGAGAATTGGGTGAGGAATCAAGCGGAGGAGAATTGGGTGAGGAATCAAGCGGAGCCGCAACAGCAGTGTCTAAGGCCGCAACATTGGGAAAAGAAGAAGATTGGTCACCGAGGCACATGGGAATGGTCGTTGCGACGGGGGCAATCAGGTCTGAAGGCGCCACGGCGGCCAAAGTTGGATCCGCAGCGAGTAGGTTTGAAAAGTCTGGCACGGCGGTGGGAGGAATCGGGTCTGAAGACGCCGCGACAAGCAAAACTGGTGCCACAGCGGGTAGAGTTGGATTGTTTGGCGCTGCAGTGGGAAAGACGGGAGCCATGGTGGAAAGAATCGGATTGGATGTTCCAGATGAAGTGGATATGGGTGCAGTGGAAACATAAGGAAAAATATGTTCATGAAAAATGATATCTCGGGAAATGAAAATTTTTCCAGTGGCTAAATCATATACCCGATAACCTTTTGTACCATAATGATAACCAAGGAAGATGCAACGAAGAGAGCGAGCATCAAATTTGCTTGGTTTGTGGTGATGGGTAGAAGTAAAACATAGGCAACCAAAAACACGTAAGTGATCATAAGTGGGTATTTTGTTAAAGATTACCTCAAATGGTGTTTTGCCGTGAAGAACGGGGGTTGAGGTACGATTGACTAGGTAAGTGGCAGTAAGGATGGCATCACCCCAAAAAAATTTGGGGAGGTTGGCTTGGAAAAGTAAGGCACGGGCTACATTGAGTAGATGTTGATGTTTGCGTTCAACAACTCCATTTTGTTGTGAAGTTGAGACACAACTGGTTTGATGAATAATCCCTTTAGCATGATATGTGTTTGGAATGTCAAATTCCTTGCCATTATCACTACGAATGATTTTGATGCGAGAATTAAATTGGGTTTCAACAAGGTTTATAAAGGTAAGTAGACAATTTCTAGCTTCAGATTTTGTAAGCAAGAGATAAACCCATGTACATCGAGAAAAATCATCTACGATAGTGAGAAAATATTTTGCCCCTTGTAAAGTTGGAACGTGATAACCACCCCAAATATCAACATGAATTAGCTCAAAACAAGATTTTTTCTTAATAGGACTGGAAGGAAAAGGTAGTCTTGCTTGTTTAGCAAGTGGACAAATAGAACAATCATTAATAAAATGAGCTTTAACAGAGTCTGAAAACAAAGAAATGCCTTGCAGGGTTTTATTGGAAGGGTGACCAAGGCGTTGATGCCAAAGATGAGGAGTGGTGGAAGTGACAGTGGCAGCGTAGACACGACACCCAACATACTTCGAAGTATCAAAGTAGTAGAGTCCAACTTGCTCAGTTCCCATCCCAATCGTCTTCTCCGAATGTTGGTCCTGCACAAAACAAAGGTTATTGGTAAAGGTTGCATAGCATGAAGAGGTTTGAGTCAATTTGGCTACAGATATCAAATTGAGTTTAAAGGAAGGAACACAAAGTACATTATAAAGAACTAGTTTACTAGAGAAATGGATGGTCCCTATATGCGTTACTTGAGCAAGATCATAGTTTGGTAAATGGACATAACGATTGGTGACAGGTATGTGAGTGGTGAAAGATTGAGGTGAGCAAACCATGTGATCAGTGGCTCCTGTGTCAAATATCCATCGAATAGCTTTACCATATATGGAAGAGCTAGGAGGAATACCGGAAAGATTGTTCACTGTTGACACTTCATTGGCAACACTAACCGATTTTGTTCGATCAATGAGTTCAAGGAGATCACGATATTGATCAGCAGTGAGACTATAGGAGGAAAGAGTCGTTTCAGCTTTGTTGGATGTAGAATCCGCATGATGGGCTCTGACGTAAGAGTTTAAGGGACCTTTCTTATCCCCTTGAGCATTTGCTCGCTTGAGTTTGCGACAGATGTCAATGGTATGGCCCTTGTAGCCACAATGATCACACTGAAGATGTTGGCGGCAGTTTTCAGTGGTATGTCCAACAAGGTTGCAATGATCACATTTGAGATGTGGGTTTCTTGGTGAGTAATTCCTGTTGGAATTTGGTGGTCCATCTTTGACAGCAAAAGTAGCCGCATCCGGTGTCTTCCCACTCACCTGTGAAGAGATGTTTCGTTGTTTTTCATCTTGAATAATGAGAGAAAATACCTTGTTCACAGGCGGCAAGGGATCCATGAGTAAGATCGGCCCTCGAGCTCCGGCATAAACGGGGTTGAGTCTCATGAGGAATCGAATAGTACGTTGTGTTTGTTGGTATTCCTGCAATTTCTTTGCCACGTTGCCATCACAAGGTGGAAGAGGACTTAGAGCATCTCGTGCATCCTCCAAGCCTTTTAATTTGGTGTAGTAGTCACCAATGCTCATGTCTCCTTGAACGCACTCATGAATCTCTTGTTCAACATGAAAAAGATGCACACTATTCGTATGAGAGAAACGTTCTTTCAGTTCCTGCCAGATCTTGAAGGCACTGTCATTGTAAATCACACTTTGAGCAATGTTTGGTGACGAAGTGTTGAGGATCCAACCCTTGACAAGGAGATTGCAGCGAGTCCATTGCTTGTGCTCCTTGGTGGATGTTTTTGGTGGTTTCGTGATGGATCCGTCCACAAAGCCATCCTTGTTCTTGGTGATGAGAGCCATGAGCATGGCCCGGCTCCAAAGAGGATAATTGTCCTGTGTCAATTGTTGAGTCACAAGAGCCAAACCTGGTTGATCAGAATAATGGAGATAGAAGGGATTGCTTGAATCATCATACATGTTGGTAGAGGGCTTAGTTGCCTCTGTAGTTTCATTAATATTTGCCATGGAAGCTGAAAATAATGGAGGCGTAGAGTTGGGTGGGCTATGGAGATTTTTTTTTTTAACGCTCTGATACCATGTAAATTTCCTATGGTAGGAAATGTAAAAAGGAGAACGTAAAGAAGAAAAAGGGAATTGAAGAAGAATTATGTATATTTCTGTATATTGGAAATGATGTACAATGAGTATTTTATACAAGCGGGAGAGAATAATTCTATGCCTAAATAATAGCAACTTTCCTAACAAATATCCTGATTTAAGGAAATTGATCTAGACAATAAATTAAATAAATACAGGAAATCAAATACAGAAAATCAAGAGGGAATCAAGGAATAATTAGCTAGTATCTTGATTCTTAACAAAATACAAAACAAATTACCAAAAAAATCATAGAAAATAATATAACTCCTATTCAAAAATTCACTACTAAACGAAGTCCATTTGCTTTTTTAGATTCAACAGCAAACTACCAAGCACAATTAAAACACACTTCGACCTCTCTAATTTATACACAACACAATAGTAAACAAACACATCACAGTAACAAACTAATTTATACATTTATCTATCTGATCAATAAGTCTGCGAGAATCCATATCCATTGCCATAAGCTTTTTAATCTTCAAAACAATTGAAAATTGTAATTGATAAAGAAAAATCTGCAAAGGATGAAAAGGTGATTATTTGTATCCTATAAATGTGAAAAAAAGACTTCACCTATCACAAAACCGGAGGCTAAGATTTCTGAGGGACTTACCATTCTCTCTCATAGCCACAATTCCCTTGTTTCCAATCTATAACAAAAAAGATGGGACATACGCGATGTTAAACAATCCAAGAGAAATAATAGAAATGAATATAGTTTAAATTAAATGTTAAAAGCAACGAACCACTGAACTTAGTGCTCAAGTATTATCAACTTTCATCTCTCTTCTTCAATTCCTTGATTTGGATCACCATCCCCAAATACAAATGAGAAAGTCTGAAATGCAACATTAGTAAAGTCAATATACCTTTTTTCAATAATAATAATAATTTTCCTCCAAAAGAAAAGTAAAGTAGTATTCATTTGTTACATACAGATTCAATAAAGTTTATCTTGTCATCGTCTCCTGTAGTAAATGTGGATCCCAGTACCTTACATAAAACAATGTAGGAAATGAATTAGCCAGAGTTTTCCAAATTTTAGGATTTAATTCATTGAAAACTTGAGATCACAAAAGTTGAAGAAGAAAAGGGCAGTAACCATTTGCATGATTGGACATAATAATATGTTTAGTAGAATTTGAATCAAACACCATTTTAATTTCCCAAGTAGAAGATATTACCAAAAGGGGTCAGTCGGACTTTTTATATTTTCCAGCAAAACTGACAATTAGCATTTAATAACTACTGTTCGATTAACAGAGTATTCAACATTCTCAAGTATTTTACAGCTTTCAACTTCTCCGCTGAAAAGCTTTCTCTCACAAATAGGATTCATGATTTATAATTTATTATAATATTTTTTTTATAAAAAATATACATAAATAAAAAATAATTTTAATCTCATAATTTTAATTTATAAACTAGACGGATCTATCAATTTATAAATTAAACGGACTTATATTTGAAAAGAGAAATATTATTGAGTGATTTAATAGAGAGAAAAAGAACCTCATAATATCAACAAATATGAAAATTTCGTTATTTAAATTTAAAATTTAAATTTTATTATAATAAAAAAATTTAAAAAATAACCACATTTAATTTTTTTATTATAATAAAAAATTCATAAATTAAAAACTCGAGTCACCAATTAAAGCCCGACGTTTCTTCAAATTTCTACAGCCTTCAGCTATGCTACAAATTGTTTCATCTCCACCGGAAAAATCTGCAATCGTTACCTCGCCCAACTCCGGGACGTCACGACGTTGGTGCTGTGGAGAACCGGAAGTCGAATCTGCATCATCGATTCCAAGCGATCACTAGGGCACGACGTCTTCACGGTGAGAAGAGAGAGTCAAATGCAAAGAGAGAAGGACGTTGGAGATCGGAGATCTAAGGAGAAAATCAACTGAGATCGGAGATCCAAGGAGAACACCGGAGATCCGGAGACATCAGGCGTCGGAGAAACAGGATCTGGTCACGTGCTACGTCTCCGGCGAGCTGCGAGATCCAACACCGATCTCGTCTCTGAAGCTTCGCAGCGAACAGTGGAGATCTAAAAGGGAGGATCTGAGCGTCTCCGGAATTGTGAGAGAGACTCCGACGGAGGCCGAGGCGGAGGCGGATAGAGAGAGAGGAGAGAAAGCTCGTCGTTCGTGAGATCCCATGCGAACGAGAACGATGACGGCATGAAAACGGGCTTCCCACGCAATGGCGACGGCTTTTCTAGCCACGACGACGGCGGAAAGAATGGTCCGAGAGAGGGGAGGAGAATGAGAGTGCGGCGGCGATGAGAAGAGAGAAATGTTAAGAGTGAATTTAGAGAAAGTCTATGGCAAGGGTCCTTGCTTTTTCCCACTTGTAGAGTACCAAATTGATTAGCCAAATTGATTTGCGTTTAACGGTTCAGTTTAAAAGAGATACACCAGATAATAATGATTTAGATTACACCTGATTAGCTAAAACAAAAACGAAAACCCTAAAAAAAAAAAAAAAAAAAAAACGTTTTTTTTTTAACCCAACTCCAAATGCCGGCAAACTCCTCCACCACCTCCGGCAATTCTTCGTACTCCTCCTTTGATGGCGACACGAGCCAGCTCTCCCCCACGGCCACGCGATATAGCTTGTCGCCCAAGACGACACAATCTCCTCCCCACCGCGCATCTCTCCACGGCGGCCAAACGTCTCTGCCCCACCAGCGCATAACGTTGCCCAGCTTCCTCAAAGGATCACGAGAGGTCGATGGAATTGTGAGACGGCGGGATCGGGAAATCAAGAAAAACACAGTGCTCTTTCAACTCCTTAAACCAAAAAAAAAAATCCAGGGCACTACTCTCTCTCAAACTTGCCTCCAATCTTCACAAGAAATTTCTTGAATGCCACAACCACAAGCATGTCGTCGCTCTTACTTTCTCATTCTCAAAAGCCTTTCGCTTCTGATATAGCAAAGCATTCCAATTTTTTCATCATATAATGAACTTCTGCATCACACTTTAACTCATCAGTTTTTTCTTTTTCACTTCAATTATATGAGAATGAAATGTGTTATGAGTAGCCCAAACTCAAACTCTCTCAGACCCACTTACATCGCACATTCATGGCGGACACACAACACTCTCTCTGACGGCGAGGTGAAGTCCGTTGTCGGGGAGCGAAGAAGGACTCGTCGTTGGCATGGTGGCACGACGGGTGGTGCACAGGGGGACCGCATGCGACGGTGAGGCGTTGTATCAGCCAGGGAAAAGAAAAGGAATTTTGGGGTTTATAAAATGTTGAATATGATGTGTGAGGTTCTATTTTAAGTCAGTACTCCTTCACCTTTTTCTACCGTGTAAGACTTGAATCCAAGGGTTTTAAGTTATACTCCACTGGTAGGGAAAAATAGACATGCCCAAGAGAAAAATGAAGGAAATTAATTAATAAGTTAACAGTAACAAAGAATAAAAATAAAAAAGAAAACTCATCAAATCCTTTTCCTTCTTGTTCGGGTTCCCCGTCAGTCAACTCCTGTTAATAACACGTTGATGTGTAAAACTTGGGCGACGTGTCAATATTTGATTGAGAGACAACAAATGAGAGAACTTAAATGAGACAATAGATCTCAACTTGTTGAAGGGGCAGTCTAAGAGCACGTTTAGTAGGGGTTTTTTAAATTCAGAATCATAACTTTAATTTAAATTAGTGTTTATTTATAAAAAGTAAAAAATAGTTTTGATTTGACTCATTTAAAATTAATATTTGATTTAAATAATTTTAATTTAATATTTGAATCATGATGTGATGTTTTAAACTATTAATCTTTTTTGATTTTAAAACCACCTTCTTGGTTTTAAGTGGTTCAAATTGCTGATTTTGGTTCTGGTTTCAAAATTATGATTTAAACTAAAAATCATGAATCATGGTTCTAGTTCCAAAATTAAAACTAAAATTACCCTGATTTGAACCATCATATCAAACAAAGCCGATTTTTCAAATCTAAATTTTTTTTTATTTTTTTATTTTTAAATGTTTAAAAATATTTTTAGAATTTTTAGAATTTTTTAGTTTTTGTTTATTTAATAAGAATGATATATTTGACCTTTTATGTCTTAAAAAAGATTTCAGGGTAAAAAAATGATTTCTTCGTCAAGATATCAATTCAAAATTATTAAAAAATATGAATACGAAAAAGATAATTACTCTATAACACATGATACTAATATGAAATTTTCTCATTTATTCTAAAAAAAATCAAATCTAAAAATTCTAACTAACTCATGCAATTCAAATTTTAAAAAACTAGTTATTTTGTTGAGAAAAAAACAGAGACTTTTTAGAAAGCATCTCTAATGTAAAACTATAATTGATGTGCCAATTACAAATTTAGCGTTTGAGTGTAAAAAATACTGCAATACAATGCTATTTATCATGTTAAATTTTTTACATGCTATACTTTGTGATGATTTCCCACCAAATATAGCATATGCGAAATTTAACATTTGATTACTATTATTTGAAATATTTAGGGCCCGTTTAGTTCGCTGATTCGAGTTTTTAATTCGAGTTGAGATGTGATTTTATGTGAGAGCTTTTTACTGTAGTAAAAAAGTTAGATGTGACTGTTTGTGAGAGCTTTTTACTGTAGCAAAACTTGAATTCTAAACTCGAATCAACGAAATGAACATGGCCTTATTTTTTCATGTAATCATAACAATTTTTACATTTTCTAATTATTTTAAAAACAAAAATTTACTTTTACAATTTTTAAAACTTGATGATTGATAATTTTTTTGATGTTTTTTCTTTTTAGCAACATCAATTTTTTCTATTTATCAACTGTCAAGTCTGTCTTATTTTTTTAATATAATTTTTAACTTTTGACTAGACGACTGATAAACAAGAAACACTAGTATTTAAAAAAAAAAGAAACATAAAAGAAAGTCTTTTAATGATTATGAAAAATAATAAATAATATTATGTATTAAAATAAAAATAAACATAAAATTATATCATATTTTTTAATATTAAATATATAAATGACGTTAACATTTACATAAGAGATTATACTAAATTATCAATATATACGGGGCTTAAGAGAAATCAGAAAAGACACATCTCACGTAACTGGAATCCAGATTCCAAACTCACCTTCATATCATAAAATAAGGGAGGAAAAAGGGGACAACGTCAGCAACTTCAACTTGAGTACTTGACATTGACATTATTATTCAACCAGAAAAATAAAAAGAAAAACATATTTTATCAACTTTATTTTTCTTTGAGTTCTGAGTACATTTTTCTAAAGAAAAATATTAATTTGATCAAAATTATATAAAAACAAATAAAATACAATACTAGTAAAATTTAATAATTTAAAATTAAACCCTCGCGGTAAAATATTTTTAATGCTTTATTGTAAAAATTTTTGTGAAAGAGGAGGATTTTTTTTTTCTAAAACTGAGAGAATTATAAAACTTTTGATTAGAGCAAAGTCAAATAGTAAATAAACAATTAACATGAAAAAAAGACCTAATTAACACACAACACAACAGAACAGAAGAAAAAGCTCCCCAACCCGCCTTTTATTTTATATCCTCCGACCCCTTTTCTCATTCTCTCTCTTCCTTCGTCGAACAATTGGAGGGCACAACACAAATTCGAAGAACAGAGAAGAAATCAATCAATTCAAACCAAATCCATTCCAAGAAGCCAAGTAAATCTCCGACGAGGAACGATGTCTCTCCGACCGAGTAGCCGGACCGAGGCCCGCAAGAAGTCGTACAAGACCGGCGTCGACGCCGACGAGGCTCGCCGGAGGAGAGAGGACAATCTGTTCGAGATCAGGAAGAACAAGCGCGAAGATAATCTCCAGAAGAAGAGGAGAGACGGCCTCAATCTCTCCCAGCAGCAGTTGCTCGATGGCGTTCAGAATGCAGCTTTTGTCGAGAAAAGGGTACTTCCTAAAATAAAAATTGTTTCATTCATGTTTTAATTATATATGAATCGGTGTAATTGGTTTTGGATTTCGCTTTCTCACTCGAGTTTTCGTCTATCTGGAAGGGAATTGGAATTATTAATCGTGGGTTTTCGTTGTTTACCAAGCGAAATGATTTTTTTTTTCCCGAGAAAATACAGAAGAGGAGGTTTAGGATGTAAATTCTGTTTCCACATATCTCTGCGGGTTTAATTTGTGGGTTTTATTGCCGGAGGGATCTTTTTGATCATTTTTGCTGTTGAAGTTAAGAGAATTTTAAAATTGAGTGAGGTAAAATTTACTAGTTGGTACCAGATTGTGAGATTGAAGGACAAATGATTAATGGATCTGGTGTGTTGGATATTTCGGTGGATTAAGATTATGATATTCTGATTATCTTTGGATTTGTTAGTTTTCGAATTGATTTTAAGAGTACTTTGAGCGTGTAATTACTTGGAAGCAGTTTTTCTTGCGTGGTTGGTTTTATTTCTTTGATGCCAAGAACAATAGCGGGTAATATAATGAAGTTTGGATTTTAGCAGGACGTTATGAACCCTCACAAACCCAAGCACTTTAGCTCTTGGATGGTGGTCCCTTTTTGGGTGCTAATGCACTTGTAATTGTAGGTTTCATTTCCATTTTATAAATACGGAAAGTGAACAAAAACATCCATTAATGTTGGCTTTTACATTTTCTCGTCTTTTGATCGATGTCTTATATGTTCAATGTTTAATCAAGGTTTTCTTGGCAGTTGGAGAGCATTCCAGCTATGGTGCATGGGGTATGGTCTGACGATCCCGCCGCACAATTGGAGGCAACTACTCAGTTTAGAAAGCTACTATCAATTGGTAAAAAAGCAATTTGTAATTTCTGTAATCGGAGTATTTGGAGAATATCCCCTTTGTCTTAACTTTTGCTTTGTATTTTATGTAGAGCGCAGCCCTCCAATTGATGAGGTTATTAAAGCAGGTGTAGTCCCTCGATTTGTTGAGTTCCTTGCACGGCAGGACCAGCCCCAATTGCAAGTAGGAAGTGTTGTTGCTTATGTTTTGTTTTTCTTACTTTACTCCTGTTCAAGTCAGATTAACTTTGAAGGGTACAATTAATTTCTAGGCCTTACACTATCTTAATTACAGTTTGAGGCTGCATGGGCTTTGACCAATGTTGCTTCTGGAACATCGGAGCATACACGAGTTGTTATTGATCAGGGTGCCGTCCCAATGTTTGTGCAACTTCTTAGCTCTGCCAGTGATGATGTCAGAGAGCAGGTTTTTGCCTGCCACTCCCCCTTTATTGATAGCTCTCGTGTCTTGTCTGATATAGAGCATCGTGACTAAATTTTTTCGACGTTCTAAATATTTATGTAGGGTGTGTATCCAAATATGTTTTTCTTGTAAATATTTGCTTCTTCTAGTTTAAGTTTTACTACTTATTTTTATTATCCAAAGCTCTTTGCAAATGAAGTTCTTGTAAGTGGTAATTAAAAAGTAACCTGATGGGTACAGCTTCATTACTTTGCTCCCAATACGTTTCAGTTTTTCATTTTCTTCGTGTCCTATGATTCTTACTTTCTTTTGATCCTCAAATTCCCATGGACAGGCGGTATGGGCTTTAGGTAATGTTGCTGGTGACTCACCAAGCTGTAGGGATCTTGTTCTTAGTCATGGTGCGCTCATACCTTTACTAACTCAGCTAAATGAGCATTCAAAGTTATCCATGCTGAGGAATGCTACATGGACTTTATCTAACTTCTGTCGGGGAAAGCCTCCAACTGCATTTGAACAGGTAGAGTCATGGCATATTTTAATTTTTAGTTAGAAACTTGAAGTGGCAGTGCTGTGTGTACTAAATGGTGGGTCGTATCATTCCCAAGTCTAATGTGGTCGATAGTCTATCATGGTAGTGTAACTTGCCTGAAAAATTCTTATCTTCTTGCTTTGACTCAGGTTAAGCCAGCCTTGCCAGTTCTTCGGCAACTTATTTTCCTGAATGATGAAGAAGTTTTGACAGATGCTTGCTGGGCCCTTTCTTATCTTTCAGATGGCCCAAATGACAAAATTCAGGCTGTGATTGAATCAGGCGTTTGTCCACGACTCGTGGAACTTCTGACGTAAGTTGCTCTACGTATAAACTTCTCAGAGTGATACTGAAATTCAGCACTCTTTGCTTTATTTCATTAAAACGTTTTTTCTTAGCATATTCTTATTTTGACAACAATGTAGTTTAGCATATTTTTCTTTTTGACAATCAGTGGGAACCAAATAAAGGGGGAATAGTTGTCGAAATATATACCATAATGTAATGTGATTGTGTTTTTATATGCTTGTCGGTGTTTCTTCTTAGTTTCGAGATTTGATATGGACTAAATTTCATTTTTTTTTTTGGTGTGCAAGGCATCCGTCCCCTACTGTTCTTGTTCCTGCTCTTAGGACAGTTGGCAACATTGTCACTGGTGATGATGCTCAGACTCAGGTATTAGCCACAATCTGTTAATGCTATCGAGTTTCTTACTTCAGTCTTTTTCCGTGCTAGGTCATATTTTTTATTTTCATTCACAACAAATGTTGTAATTTACACTGGGGAGCCCATCATGACTTACAGTATTCTGTTTATCCGATTCAAAATTTTGTGCATGTATGATCAGTCCAGTTTATTCGGGAAACAAGTGCATTTTTTTAGTGCACGTTTTTGTAAAGTTGATGCAGAAAAGCACTTACCTGTCCTTCCTTTTGTGTTTGGATTACTAACAGACTGCTAGTAGATAGACCGTAATTTAACTCTTTTGTAGTTAACTCCTTGTTTTGAGTACTTATAAAGTTAAGGAGACCATATAAACTCACCTTTGCCTCGTCTTTTCTCTACCATTTGTCTGTGTTTTATGCTTGTGGTTGCCCCTCAAATAGAGCAGCATAGTAACCTGCGCTGCATTTTCCAGTTTGCAATAGACAACCAGGTCCTCCCTTGCCTCTTTCAACTTCTTACGCAAAATCACAAAAAGAGCATAAAGAAGGAAGCTTGTTGGACGATCTCAAATATCACAGCTGGAAATAAAGCTCAAATACAGGTATAAATCCTCTCGCAAGTCATATTTATCTGTTAAAGCGTTTAACTTGCATGAATAAGAATGATGAGGTCTAACGAATCCATAATACTAGAATCATTTTGTTTCTAAAGCATGCTTTGTGCTGGTCAATCATATTTTGTCCAAAATGATGTCTTCTAATGTAAAGGGTCAAAATTATTACTCTCTCCATCGGCTATCCATCGATAACAGGGTATATGGTCAGACCCTGTATGAGGACTATCGATGTTCAATAGATAGCAGACCTTCCCTCTTTGAGGAAAACGAGAGGCTTTTGTAGTAAAAAATGGATTTTCTAACTTTAAAAGTTTTGCTTTTGGCTTCAAATTTACACCATTTCATGCAGAGAAGTTGTTTGTCTCTTTAAAGAAAATTTTATACTTTCCGTTGCCCTTTTTCTGAGTGGTAATATAGTGTTGGAAAATTCTGGTGGATTTTCCTTTTTAACGTGTATTAATATCTCCTTCATATGACCTTTGTTTTTTCTTTGCTTTAACTCGTGGGATGGTGGATATTGGAGCGATTTCAAGGCGTCAATTTTGATTGTATATGGCCTAATTATTTAATTGAGTCTTGAGGTTGATGCCACTTTATAATCTGCTTGTAAGCATTATCTACTGAGTTCACTTTCGCAGGCTCTAATTGTTGCCAATATCATTCAACCGCTTTTTTGATTGTTTATGGCCTAACTAATTAGTTGGGTTATGGGTATTGAGGTTGATGGCACTTTATATTCTTTTTGTAACCATTATCTACTGAATTCACTTTCGCAGGCTGTAATTGATGCCAATATCATTCAGCCGCTTGTACATCTTCTCCAACACGCGGAGTTTGAAATAAAAAAGGAGGCTGCATGGGCCATCTCAAATGCCACTTCGGGTGGTTCTCATGAACAAATCCAGTATGCTTAACCTCTGCTTTCTTCTTAGCTTACACTTGTGCATTTCTAATTAAACGACAAAAAAGAAAAGAATAATTTGGGGCAAGTTCTGTTGTCCTTTTTGTGTTCATTAATTTGCGCTTAGTTCTGTTGCCCTTTTTGTGTTCATTCAGTCGGTTATATTCCATTTACACATATCAAGAACTTTAACTCCTGAGTAAGTCTATTTTAAGCAATTTTTATTGTTGACACCTGAAATTGATGGATTACTGTCTAGTCGATGGTGAATACATCTTGCAACGCCAATTATTTTAATGCAATTTAGTGTTTACTTTATTGTGCAACATAATGCCTTATCACAGCCTTGCACTTACATGAACATGCACTTCCAGATTCCTGGTTACCCAAGGTTGCATTGCGCCACTCTGTGATCTTCTAGCTTGTCCAGATCCAAGGATTATAACAGTCTGCCTTGAGGGTCTTGAAAACATTCTCAAGGTGGGTGAGGCTGACAAAGAAATGGGACTGAACGGCGGAATCAATCTTTACGCACAGCAGATCGATGAATGTGACGGACTGGATAAGATTGAGAGTCTTCAGAACCATGACAATAATGAGATTTATGAGAAGGCCGTGAAGATCTTGGAGAGATATTGGACTGAAGAAGATGATGATGAGAACCTCCCAGTTTTCGCTGGAGGCCAGCCTACCCTTCCTCCCGGCGGCTTCAAGTTTGGGTAATAATAGTACAATTGCAGCTGTCTCCCCTGCTTTCGACCATCGTTTTTTGTTTTTGTTTTTCTTTTAGTTTCCCTCTTTTCCGGGACGAATTCTTTAAAACTTCAATTACATTTTTCATTGTCAGAAGCCAGGGTTTTTAGTATGGCACATGGGCTCTTTTATGAATTTGTTATGTTGGAAGTCTGGAAATTTTTTGCTTCCTATATTGTTTTCCCTCTCTTTAAAATTTACACACTGGAATAGGAATCCTATTGCCTTTATGTCTAAGAGGGCGACTGTCTGTCGTTTGATATGTCTATTCTTGTTTTTCCACTTTATTTGGTTGGTCGTTCTTGTTTCTTAAATATTGGCTTTTGACTGAGAGTAGGAAAAAGAAAAAGGAAAATGGTTGCTTCATATTGCTGCCAATGTTCTGGAAATGTTGGAGAACATTGACCAATGTTATGAGTAGTTGTTGTGCGAGAAAGCTCTCGAACGAGAGTGAGAATTTAGATGTGTTGGATTATAATCTTTGCCGATGATAATGGTTCCAAATTGGCCAAGTTTAGATTTCTAAATTGTTTGCCATTCCCATTTTCCTTTTTCTTTCCGCTTTATTTTTAGGTAATCTTGATAAATATCTCTTGAAAGTGCATGGGTCAGGATTTTTACTATTTACTTGCTTTCTTCTTAGCTTACACTTGTGCATTTCTAATTAAACGACAAAAAAGAAAAGAATAATTTGGGCCAAGTTCTGTTGTCCTTTTTGTGTTCATTAATTTGCGCTTAGTTCTGTTGCCCTTTTTGTGTTCATTCAGTCGGTTATATTTCATTTACACATATCAAGAACTTTAACTCCTGAGTAAGTCTATTTTAAGCAATTTTTATTGTTGACACCTGAAATTGATGGATTGCTGTCTAGTCGATGGTGAATACATCTTGCAACGCCAATTATTTTAATGCAATTTAGTGTTTACTTTATTGTGCAACATAATGCCTTATCACAGCCTTGCACTTACATGAACATGCACTTCCAGATTCCTGGTTACCCAAGGTTGCATTGCGCCACTCTGTGATCTTCTAGCTTGTCCAGATCCAAGGATTATAACAGTCTGCCTTGAGGGTCTTGAAAACATTCTCAAGGTGGGTGAGGCTGACAAAGAAATGGGACTGAACGGTGGAATCAATCTTTACGCACAGCAGATCGATGAATGTGATGGACTGGATAAGATTGAGAGTCTTCAGAACCATGACAATAATGAGATTTATGAGAAGGCCGTGAAGATCTTGGAGAGATATTGGACTGAAGAAGATGATGATGAGAACCTCCCAGTTTTCGCTGGAGGCCAGCCTACCCTTCCTCCCGGCGGCTTCAAGTTTGGGTAATAATAGTACAATTGCAGCTGTCTCCCCTGCTTTCGACCATCGTTTTTTGTTTTTGTTTTTCTTTTAGTTTCCCTCTTTTCCGGGACGAATTCTTTAAAACTTCAATTACATTTTTCATTGTGAGAAGCCAGGGTTTTTAGTATGGCACATGGGCTCTTTTATGAATTTGTTATGTTGGAAGTCTGGAAATTTTTTGCTTCCTATATTGTTTTCCCTCTCTTTAAAATTTACACACTGGAATAGGAATCCTATTGCCTTTATGTCTAAGAGGGCGACTGTCTGTCGTTTGATATGTCTATTCTTGTTTTTCCACTTTATTTGGTTGGTCGTTCTTGTTTCTTAAATATTGGCTTTTGACTGAGAGTAGGAAAAAGAAAAAGGAAAATGGTTGCTTCATATTGCTGCCAATGTTCTGGAAATGTTGGAGAACATTGACCAATGTTATGAGTAGTTGTTGTGCGAGAAAGCTCTCGAACGAGAGTGAGAATTTAGATGTGTTGGATTATAATCTTTGCCGATGATAATGGTTCCAAATTGGCCAAGTTTAGATTTCTAAATTGTTTGCCATTCCCATTTTCCTTTTTCTTTCCGCTTTATTTTTAGGTAATCTTGATAAATATCTCTTGAAAGTGCATGGGTCAGGATTTTTACTATTTACTCTTAATTCTTAGCTTTTTTAGTCAAATAATTACATTAACAAAATGGTATTTATTAAGAGTAAGGGATAAATGTTCAGATTCATGCATTTTTAAAGGATAAATTCTCCATTTTTTCTTTATTTTTTATAAGATCTAAGTGAGGAAAATATATTATGAAGTATAGCCGTAATATTATGATAGTCAATCCATCGAATTATCATTAAATGAGTGATTATTTTTTGATGAAACTCCCAAATCTTCCATCTATAACGAAATTCTTGCTTTGCTTTTGGTTTAAAGTTAAACTATGAAGTATCCAATGTTTATCTATTTGTCCGCGTTGTGGTGAGGAGGTTGAGGACACTACTCATGCTATGTGGCCTTGTGCGGGCAGTAAGAGGAGTGTGGGAGGGGAGTGTGTTATGGGACTTCCTTAGGAAGTTGAAGGGAGGTCCTTTCTCCTCTCTCTGCTTATTTGTCACCGAAGAAGGCAAGAAGGATGTCATAGAACTATTCTGCGTGATTTGTTGGAGTATTTGGTGTGCCCGAAATGCTCTGGTATACACAATGGCAGACTTACTACTGCTATTGTGGTAATTGAACGGGCAGGACGGGTATTTGAAGGCTAGAGTGGCTGTCGGAAGTTGGACTCGCCTCTACCAAATAGATCCGTGTGGCATGCTCCTGAAGGTGAGGTGGTTAAAATAAATGTTGATGTTTCAGTATTAAGTTCTGCGGATTATGTTGGTATTGGCATTGTCGCTCGGGATAGGCAGGGTGTTGTTCTAGGTGCTTGCTTTATTCGTATTCCTGGCCGGTTTTCACCCCACGTTGCAGAGTGTATGGCTGTTAGGGAGGGTGCACTTTTCGCCGTCTCTAATGGTTTTTCAGAATGGGTTATTGAGTCCGATGTGATTAATGCAGTTCAAAAGGTTCAGACTCCTTCGGATCGGGCCTCCGAAGCAGGTGTTATTCAAGATATTAGAGCCATCTTTGTTCAAGCTCGTTGTGACTTTGTTTCCTATACATCCCGTGAAAAGGAATAATGTAGCCCACACGTTAGTGTTAGTTGGTCATGTTTTTGTTTCCTCTATTAATTTGTTTTGGCGTCATTATATGCCTTGTTTTATTAATTGCGTTGTAAGAAGTGATTTTATTCGTGCTTAATAAATCCTTTTAAGTTTATCCTCGAAAAAAAAAAAAGTTAAACTATGAAGTAAAAATGAAATTAGTAAAAATGATTATCCGGTCGTTTTATGTAAAAATTGGTTGTTCCCGACCATTCCTCGTCATTCTGTGGTTATTTTGCAAATAAAACTATCTAATGAAATCATTTTACTCCATCTCTGCTTGTAAATCCAAACACCATATTTTATCTTTAAAAAAAAAAGAAAAAAGTCCAAACACCATTTTGAACTTGGCTTCAAGCCACAAGAACAAAATGCTTTGAATTAAAACAGTGATTATTTAGAGAAAAAAAAAAAATGCACGCTAAATTCTAAAACAAATTCATATTAAGGTAAGGTCAAGCGATAGTATCTCAGCGTTAGGGCGTAGCGTAGGACAGTGAACCAGCGACGGCCTGTGTCATATTGATCATGCAACTTGAAGACGAGCTTCAAACAATGGAGCCTAACAACAACACAGTAACACACGACGAAGAACAAGAAGACGACGACGACGAACATGGCGTTCTCCTCTATTACAAGTACGCCCAGATCCCGGACCTCAACCATCTCCTTGATTTCTACACCTCCAATTGCAATTCCCTCCGCCTCCTCGGCCGTGTTCGTCTCTCTACTCTCGGCGTCAACGTCACTGTACTCTCTCTCTCTCTCTCTCTATATATATATATAAATATAATGTTTTTGACTAATAATAGGACTAAAAAGTGAAGATTCTATGGTTTTTAGGGTTCTGCTGATATTTGGGGGATTTTGCTGTTCGATTAGGTTGGTGGGACGCTAAGCTCGTTGAAGAAGCACATTGCCGCGGTTGAGTGGAACAGTTTGTTCCATGGCACCGACTTCAAGATCGCGGCTTCTCCTCGCCCAATGGGCGACAAGGTTGCCAAAGAATGTGGATTCACTTCTCTCTCAATTCGCATTGTGAAGGTGATTCTTGTTTAGATTGTTTTAGTAATTGCCTTTCTTTGAACAGTTATTTTGTTGAATTTTTAATCTTTGTTGTTAGGAATTGGTTACTTTGCACTCTAATCCTCTGCTGAACCCGCCAGAAATTTCAGATGCTGGGAAGCATCTTTCTGCTCTCGAGTTTCACTCTGTTCTCCAAAAAGCTGGTTGGTTATTGTTAATTTTTGGCCTTTTCATTTTTTGCTACATTATTAGTCAATCGATTTATTTTTAGTAGTTTTGCTATTTACTGAAGCTTCCCATTATAAGCATGTTGAATTATATGTGTGGGATACTCAAAAGAAAATGGGATTTTTATGGTGATGTGCTAACTGCTAATTTAGTGTGTGTGTCCCAGGAACATCTTTAGATGCTAGGGATCCAACAGACAATAAGCAACTTGTTTTGTTAGATGCAAGAAATTTGTACGAGACGAGAATCGGAAAGTTCGATGCTCCAAATGTCAAAACTTTGGATTCAGGAATTAGGCAGTATAGTGATTTGCCCTCGTGGATTGATCATAACTCGGAGAACTTGCGGGGCAAACATGTCCTCATGTACGTGGTTGTTGTGGACAGTGTCTAAATGTTGTTTTGGGTTGTTATACAGCTTCTATTTCTAATAACATGAGTTGTTGTGACTTGTGAAACAATTTTTCGTGGAATTGCTATCAATTTTTGAAGTCATAATGTCATATAGGTCCCGATTTATATTTATAAAAAATGGTCTATATTCTACAGTAAGTTTTGTGTACTTTTGTAGTTTTGAGTATATATGTGTAATGTGTAATGATTGAAAAATGTCAATGTGGTCGTCCTTAGTGCAGGGTGTAGTATTCATATTTTGGAGTTGTTATTCTCACATGCTGTTAGTTCCTTAGCTGTACTCCTGATTCCTCAACATATTGAGTTCACGCTTGTATCTTGCCTAATCAGGAGTGTTGAATATGTTGAACATCAGGAAACTGATTACGCAGTGGTTACTTTATCCTCACTATTAATCATCACTGGTGATTTGATTTGGATTGCAGGTATTGCACTGGGGGAATCAGGTGCGAGATGGCATCAGCTTATATAAGGTCAAAAGGTGCTGGTTGTGCTAAAAGTTGGCATTTTGTTTTGTGTTGTTGATTTCATTAACATCATCTCAACATCTCCACATCATTTCAAATTTCACTCTGGAGCCAAGGATTCCGGTTGGGTTGTACAACATATTTTAGTAGCTTGGAAAAACTGGCCTTCAGGAATATCAAGCTATGATGTACCCAAAAAAGATATATATATATATATTTATTTGCTTTAGTTTTTCTTTGTTAACTAGAAAGTACGGAGTTCAAGCAGCAAGGTACTTGCTTTCTTATGACAACGGCAATGACCTTTTTTTGTGTGTTAATAATTCTTTGGGTTTATCGCAGTTATTTGGTGGAATACAGCGTTATTTGGAGCAATTTCCTGATGGTGGTTTCTTCAGAGGAAAGAATTTTGTTTTTGACCACCGGTATGAATTTTGTTAGCTTACTAACTTCTCTTACTGCTTAAGTACTTTTTTTTTTTTTGGTCCATCTTATTTTCAGTAATGAAATAAGTAAGTTGCATGTGTAACTGTAGGATATCAGTTGGGAGCTCAGATGCAGATATATTGGGTAGCTGTCTTTTTTGTGGCTTACCCTTTGATGATTATTCTTCGCGCCTCCGGTGCACTTACTGTAGAATGCTTGTTTTGGTTTGTTATAGTTGCCAGGTAAGAGCGTATTTTTAATCATCAAATGCTAGCAAGTTTGTTATGTTGGTGTGAATTAATGAGATCGAATATCAATTATCATGTTTAAACAATCCGATCTCTTGCTTTACCTGTCTCAACTTCATTATGTTTATTTGTTTCACTTCTCTACTATTCTCTTTAATTTTTCAAATATGTGCCCACAGAAGGAGGGCATTGCATTTGTCTGTGAGCTATGCAAGAAACACCACAAAGATGTTGGGTTGATTTCATCAGTTGAAAATGGCAGATCAGAGGAAGTTTCAGCCTATGCTGAACTCAATACTGATTCCTCAGATGCCAAAATCTCACCTCATGTACCTGAGAAACAGGGTAAGGACTGTATCTGAATTTCTTGATTAATTCTTTGCATTTACGTGTACCCAGAATAAGTTGACTATTGATGTTGATCGTCTCTTGTCCGTAGCCTGTAGGTTGCACATGTTCTGTCTAGTCTTCTTTAAAATGCGTTTATATATGAATGTATTGAAGTCTCTTTTAAGTATTAAAAATTTTACATGTATAAATTTTGGCCACAAGTAAACAACCTTTTAAGTTCAGTGCATCCTTAACAGTAATTTCTATTAGACTTGTTTTTGGTCGTCTAGTGTATAGGATTCAAATGCTAATATATCCTGTAATCAAATGAGTTGGAAGCTTAGTTACTGACAACCACCACATGCTGCAGATAACAGACATCGACGAAAACTCAGAATCTTATGCTTGCACGGATTTCGACAGAATGTGTCTAGTTTCAAAGGAAGAACTGCGTCATTAGCCAAGAAACTTAAGAACATTGTTGAGCTTGCCTTAATTGACGCGCCTCATGAGTTGCCCTTCATTTATCAACCAAGTGTATCAGAGTTGGATCAAACTTGTGCATCACCTTCACCACTAAAAGGTCCTCCTCCACCGTCGCAGCATTGCAAGAAGAAGTTTACCTGGTTAGTGTCACCCAATTTCGGCCAAAGTAGCAAAACAGACTGGAAAATTGCAGATTGTCCATTTGATGCTCTCCAATACGAGCAGCAAACTGATGGGTTTGAGGAATCATTGGCGTATGTAAAAGATATGATCTCTCGAGAAGGGCCATTCGACGGGATCTTGGGATTTTCTCAGGGTGCTGCAACGGCTGCCGCAGTGTGTGCTCGACTAGGGACACTTAATGGAAAACTGGAGTTTAGATTTGCAATTTTGTGTTCTGGGTTTGCTCTGAATTTACCGGAGCTTGACGGGGGATTGATCCAGTGCCCCTCACTTCACATTTTTGGGAGTGACGATGGAAAAGACAGGCAGATAGCAAACAAAGCAAGCAGAGAACTGGCTTCATTGTTTGACGATGGTTGCTCTGTCGTAATCCAACATGACTCTGGCCATATAATCCCTACTCGTTCTCCCTATATAGACCAGATCAAAGAATTTCTCCAACGCTTTCTCTAATGGTCTCCAATTCATCTTTGTTTGCATTAGCATTTCTTTAACAAGCACAGAAATAGTTCACCAAAATGACAATTATTTTTAGTTATCATTTATAAACAGTTTATCATGCCCAAAGAATTGAATCAAGGGATAACATCCTATTTGTGCACGTGACACATATACTATTATCAATATACATGTTATTGAATCTTTACAGATGGATTTCAAGCAAAAAAAAAGAAAAATCTATACAGATGGATGTTTTGATGGGAAAGGAAATGTTGGGAAGAGCAGCTATTTTTTGGACGTGATCAAGGGGATTTTGCACACTAATAAATGTCCACATCTAACCATAGTTACTTGACCTACTTCTCATTTATCATAGTAGCGGCATGACGGCGAGAGGACGACTTATTTGGCTCTCACTCCCACTAATCATGGATCGATTCTTGTAATTAGGCTCTCACTCCCACTAATCATGGATCGATTCTTGTTCGCAGCAAGATTGTAACTATGCCTCTCAATGCACCTGCCCAACATGATTTGGGCTTGCTGTGACTTGCGTTCTGTAGATGTTGGTAGACAAAAACATGGGTCGGGCTTCCTTATCGTCGCACTTATGGTTTTAATATATTCTTCTTAAATGCTGGGTGTGAGGATATTACTAATTTTTTTTTAATAATAACTAAAAAAGTATTTAGAAAATGAACATTTTGTGCCTGTTTAGTTCCGTTTTCAAAAACGTTTTTCATGTTTTTCAAGAACAAAAAATGAAAAATGCTCTGAGAGAACCGTTTGGCAGCATTTCTTGAAAAACAGAAAATGAAAACGTTTTTTACTTATTCTTAAAAACTCAGCAAAACTGAAAATAATTGAACATCGTTTTCAATTTTTCATTTTCATTTTCTTTCCCCGACCGACTGGACCATTCTTCCCCGACTTTATTTAATATATTATTAGTTTAAACATTATTACATGTTTTTAAAAATTAAACTACCAAACACAATTTCAATTTTTTTAAAATTAAAAATAATCCCGGAATAAAATTACTAAATGCATTTTCAAAAATGATTCCAAAATGAAAATGAAAATGTTTTCGTTTTCATTTTCATACATAAAATAAAATAATTTTAGAACGAATTTCAAACGCATCCTTTATTAACACCATAATATTTTATTAAGGCACCTCAAAATATTTAAAAATTAAAACTATTTTCTTTTTAAAATTAAAATCTTATATAATTCCATTAATGCGTAATGTACACCCCATACTTTTTTATATTTAGAAAACAATTTTACTTGAAAAGATTTTCCTATTTTTTTTGCCAAATCTTTTTCATTTAATGTATACCAAAAAAAAAAAACTTCTATTTGAGTCTATTGTTGCTAGTTTGAATGACTTGAACTATATGATCAATAAGCGAGATTTTATTTATTACATCAATTTTAAATTTTAAATTTAAATTTTATTATAATAAAAATTTT